GGGATTTGAACCGCAGTCGACTATGTGGGAGTCCAGCAATATAACTATTACACGAACTGCTGGTCCTGAGAGGGCGCTAGTTTTTTTTTTTTTTAAAGAATTATTTTATTTAACTTTATTTATTATTATTATCATTATTATTTTCCAGTTTGATCAAAGAGAGAGAGAGAGAGGAAGAGAAAAAGCGAGCCACCAGGTCCGAGACTTGAACCATGGTCGGCCATGTGGTAGCCCAGCGCCTTTAACCACCATGCCACTTGCCGGCCCCGAGAGGGCACTAGTTACAAAAGTACAGATTCACTGCTCAATGACTGTGATCTTGCTGATACTGGTAAATAGAGCATAATATCTACCTCATAGGTAAAGTGAGTAATTCATTTAAAACAGTGCTCGCTACATAGTAAGCACCCTATTTGAAGGTAAAGTGTTAGAGGTTAAAGCATGTCTTCTGAACCTGTTAGTATTTTTTGCCCTTGCAAAACTATATTACCTTAGAAAATGAAAAGTAAACTCAAATCCTAAAGAAGAACCAGAATGATTCTTCTACTTCAAGAATTAATATGGATACAATTGGAATTTTATACTAATTTAAGGGTATTCTGCTTTTTTGTTGAACTTGAAAATGCTTTTAGTAGAATTTCTTGCTCATTTTAGGCCTTAGGTAGAATACAGGTAGTGTGTTAAGAATCTGGCATGTTGCACTAAATAGTTCTTGTTCTTAAGGACTATAGTAATTCCTTTTTTTTTTTGAGAGGTTTTTGCCATAGGGCGCCTATGCTTGACAGACAGACAGACAGAGACGGAGAGACAGAAAGCGAGAAATCACTCTCCAGGGGGGATGGCCACACCACAATCCCTTCTCCTCCATTCTCCTCTCAGGATCTTGGGCACGCATGCACACGCGCCCAGCATGAGTTTTAAGCCACTGGGTCTGGGAAGCAAACCTCAGTCGACTTACATGGGAGTCCAGCGAAATAGCCATTACGCTAACTGCTGGTCCAAGGACTTAACAGTATAAGAGTACATCATTTTTCTTCTTGATTTTCAGTTTTTGTCAGTTATTTGAGCCTTTAGTTTTAGTTAAATAAGGTTATTTTAAGCTAGGTCTGGGTTTTCAAAAGAATTGAGTCCTAGAAATTATTGTTTTATTTTATTTTTTCATTGTGGGGACAGGATTCTGGCACTAGAAAACCTGCTAGACAAATTCTGTAAGAGCTGTAACACTTTGAAAAATCATTTTTATCTTTCAATTACAGACGCAGGGACAGAGCTCATCGAGAGATCAAGAGTATTTTCTATAAGGCAATCCAGAAACGCAGACAGTCAGAAGAAAAAATTGATGATATTCTCCAAACTTTATTAGAGTCTACATACAAGTAAGAGCTGTTCAGAGGACATGTTAAGTTGAAGCAGGAAATTATACATTAAAATATCGTTTACTATTTCCAGTTAAAAATAATGATGCTAGTAAAATAAGCTGGTAGCTACGACCTTTGTACTTTTTAAATTGTTGAGCTAGAAATGACTGGAATCTCATGCCTTATTGGAATCCCAGTAACTGGGCATGAGGAAAGTTTGCTAATAAAATCTTTAATAATCCAAATTATGTTTTCTAACGGTTTATTTCTTCCCTGAAGGAAGAAACTGAGATTCATAATAGGTAAATGCAAGAGACTTTTCTATACAAAAAATGTATTCATTATGATCTTTTATTTAAAAATGAGCCCCGAAATGTGTCTGCCAAACTGTTCAATTTGTGTGTGTGGTTCATTCTGTAGGGATGGACGCCCTTTGACAGATGATGAAATAGCAGGGATGCTTATTGGACTGCTCCTGGCGGGACAGCATACATCCTCAACCACTAGTGCCTGGATGGGCTTCTTCTTGGCCCGAGACAAAACACTTCAAGAAAAATGTTATTTAGAACAGAAAAAAGTTTGTGGGGAAGACCTGCCTCCTTTAACTTATGACCAGGTTTGTTGGATTTTCCAGTTTAATTGCTGTCTTATGATTTTGATTATCTGTAGATAAAGAGGATATTGTGTGATAATTGGGTGTCTTTGGAAGTGCAGAAACCTCTGAATTATTTAGAATTCTAGAGGCCCAGAATGGCCTATTCCTGGGCAGAGACTTCTTTATTTTATTTTTTAAAATTATTTATTTTAATTTTATTTATTCCTTCATTTATTTTAATTTGACCAGAGAGGGACATGGAGAAAGAGAGAGGGGGAAAGTGAGAAAGGAAGCCACCAGGTCCGGGACTTGAACCGTGGTTGGCCATGTAGGAGTGTCCAGCGTCTTAACCACCACGCCACCTGCTGGTCCTTTTTTAAAAAATTATTTATTTTAATTTCATTTCATGGGCGGAGACTTCTAAAGGTGGCAATGATAGTAATGGGGACAAGAAATTCACAAACTCTATACCCAGTTCGCTGGACAGAAAAGGGAAGAATCTTCATTGTATAACCTGAGATCACATCTTTAAAGCAAACCTTGTCCCACTTCCTCTTATCTTTTTAAAAGCTCCTTTAATAATATGGTATATTACATTGATTTTCATATGGTAATCCATGAATTCCTGGGATAAAACCTACTTTGTTGTGTTGTATAGTCCTTTTTATATGTTGCTGGATTTGGTTTCAGTTCTGGACTTGACAGCTTGAACTGCCTTGAACAATAAGTCTCCCAGCTTCTGCTGCAGAGCTGTGTGAATGGTAGGACATGTTTTTTACACTCCAACAGGAGTTAGTGAAGGTTCACAGCTCACTCTCCCTTTGCTATTACTTCCTGTGTGTACAGGTTAGCCAGAGGTGAGGTATTAGAGTCCTCTCAGATCTTCTGTGGACATGCACATACCCCAGTACATGTGTGTGGACTTTAATATTCCCTTATGTTAGAATTTTTCAAAGTCCCCTGTTGACATCTCATTCCCCAGTTTTGTTTTTTTTTTAGTTTTTGCTAGAGAATATGTGCACTCGCCATAGAGAAAAGAAAGTGAGAAAGCACCCCCAGGGAAGATGGTCATGCTGTAGTCCCCTTCTCCATTCTCTTTTTGGGATTTGGGGCATGCAGGCACAAGCACCCAGTGTTTTTTTTGAAGCCACCACATCTAGTACTCGAACTGCAGTCGGTCATGTGGCATCCACCTGCCTAAACTACCACATGCCACTGGCTGGCCCCAGTTTTTCCTTCTAAACTTTTTGTTCCTTCTTTTGGTAACTCCAGCTGCTTTTGCCACCTCAGGTACCTGCAATGTGAAACAATTTCTGCTGTTTGTTTTTTACGTATATGTCTGTCTCGTCTAGAACTTTTTAAGCTAATGGATTTCATAGCTATTGTAGTTGCCATGTTGTTGGTTTCCAGGCTCCCATGGATCTGGGGAGAGGATGAAAGTACATGTTACCCTACCACAAAGCTTGCTCGTCTCACCAAGTTTTAGGTTTTTTTCTTGAATGAACTCTTCTTAGATTACAAGCATTTGAAAATTTCCAGAATTTAGAAAAAGCTTATATTGATGATTTTGCTAAAGTTCTCATTTTTTAGCAGAGTGAATTTTTGTAGATCCTGATCATGCCATGGTCACCTCTCTTCCTATTATCCTACCTTTGTTTTTTTCCCCTATTGATCGTGGACGGTGATGGAACATGATTAACCCAACTATCCTGAACCAGTTACTTCTGTACATCTTTTCAGAATTCAGGTTCTTTTTTAAAAAAAGTTTTGCCAGAGGGTGTGTGTACTCCCGCCAAAGACAGTGAGAGAGACAGAAAGTGAGAAAGCATCTCCCTCGTGGGGGATGGTCATGCTGAAAACCCTTTTCCATCTCTTTCTTTTTTTGGGATTTTGGGCACACACACATGCTTGGCAGGTTTTTGGGTTTTTTTGTTTTGTTTTTGTAACATTTATTTGTTTATTCATCTATTTATTTGTTGTGATTTTCAAGTCATTGGGTCCAAGACTCTACCTACAATCGGCCATATGTGAACCCAGCACCTTAACCATTGTGCCACCTGCTGTGTGTGCCTTAACTACTAGGAAGCTTGGCAAGCTGTCTTGTACTAGGAAGTTAAAGTAATTTTTATCAAAATGATTTTTATACTGTTGAAGTATATTAAATATTTGTAAAAGTTGGGAAATGCTTTCTCTTTTTAGCTCAAGGATCTAAATATACTTGATCGCTGTATAAAAGAAACATTAAGACTCAGACCTCCCATAATGACTATGATGAGATTGGCCAGAACTCCTCAGGTGAGTGTCTTAGCTAGATCTTACTGCCCTATAAGTTTTATTTATAAAGAGAAGAAATGTAATAGCATCAAATAAATTTTTTTAAATGAAAAAAGTACAATGATCATTTCTATGTAATTTTCAGTTTTACCTATTCTAAATATATGAACATTTTTATATAATTGGAGATGCTAATCTCTGATGCTAGTCATGCTCTGCATTTTCATTTCACAGTTGGAGTTTTTAAAAATGGAAGCATGTTTTCTTGTTTTAAAAATAACGCATTTTGTAAAAAGTTCTAACACCAAGTGTATAAACTGGGTAGTGAAAGGCTTCATGAAATTCCACCCCTACCTCTGAGGCATTGAGTTTGATTTGTGCATATACTTCCAACTCAGTGTTGATTCACTAGCAAATCATCTTGAGTTGAAATAATTTTCAGCTGACCTTTCTGACCAATTTTGAAATAAATTTCATGTATACTAATGCTTTATTACACAACGATTTGATTATTTGGTAACATATTTTACAATTCTCTGATTTGATTATTTGGTAACATATTTTACAATTCTCTGATGAAATGTGTTGCTACATTTGTAGACTGTGGCAGGGTATACTATTCCTCCAGGACATCAAGTGTGTGTTTCTCCTACTGTCAATCAAAGACTTAAAGACTCATGGGTAGACCCTCTGGACTTTAATCCTGACCGCTACTTACAGGATAACCCAGCATCAGGAGAGAAGTTTGCCTATGTGCCATTTGGAGCTGGTAAGATGATTGTATTTGAGATTTGAAATGTTTGTGCCCTGTTAGCATATTTATCTGTCAAGATAGTCCATGTAAACTTTTTCGAAGTTTAAAAAAATTTTTTAAAATAATTTTTAAGTATTTAATTTTATTTATTATTATTATTTAAATTTGCTATAGGGCACATGAGTTCACCAGAGAAAGAGAGAATGTGAGAAAAGCAAGCTACCAGGTCCAGGACTCAAATTGTGGTCACCCATGTAGGAGTCCAGCGCCTTAGCCACCATGCCATTTGCTGGCCCCATAACCCATGTAAATTTTATGTACAACTATCTATCTTTTTCCTTATAGGGACATTCCTGCCTTATATAGGAATAGAATCTTCCAAAGTTGGGAAAAACTTTTCATCTGTACTAAAGGGGATTGTTCTGTTGAATCGTGATACAATGCTCTATTACCTTTTAACCTATTTAGTTTAATTAGGTCTAATATTTATGTTGCACCCTTGTTTTCCCTTTTGGTAGTATTTAAAGCTCTTTGTGAATCTGATTTTAAAGAATCATTGAAGGACCAGCAGGTGGCATAATGGTTACGTTGCTGGACTCCCACACGGCTGACTGCAGTTCATGTCCTAGACTCAAAGGCTTCAAACTCAAGCTGGGCATGTGTCTGTGTGTGTATGCATGTGCAAGATCTTGAGAGAATGAAGAAGGGATCTTGCATGGCCACTTCTGCTAGGGGGGTGATTTCTCACTTTCTGTATCTCTGCCTCTCTGTCTTGGCGAGTGCACATGCCCTGTAGCAAAAACCTCTAAAAAAAAAATAATAATAAAACCACTGAGGTCTGCCTCGTGTCTTAGTGGTTAAGGGAAATGGATAGCACAGTTCAATTCTTGACTCTAGTGGCTTGAAAAACATGCTGGGCACATGTCGGTGCATGCCCCACATCCTGACGGGATGGAGAAATGGAATAGAAGGGATTACAGCATGACACACCACACTGTGGGGTGGTTTCTCTTTACTTTCTGTCTCTCTGGTGTGTACACACATCCTCTGGCAGAAAAACAAAACAAACCACTAAAGTTAACACCATCTAGGGAAATTTTTTAGGCTAAGTATATTGGGTCTATGCATTTTTGCATGGAAAATGTAGAAAAATATGCCATTGACCTTCCCAATGACCTAATAGTAACAAATTGCTAGCATTTCAGAAAAGAGCAGAGGCAGGCAGCCTTTTTAGAATTATTTTATTTAACTTTCATTTCTTTATTTTAATTTGACCAGAGAAAGATAGAGCGAGAGAGTGAGAAAGAGAAAGAAAGTAAATTGCCAGGTCCAGGACTTGAACCCCAGTCAGCCACGTGGGAGTCCAGTGCCCTTAACCACCACGCCATCTGCCGACCAAGAAAAACACTTTTTTTTTTTTGGAGAGATTTTCGCTATAGGGCATATGCGCTCGCCAGACAGACAGAGAGAGGCATAGAGACAGAAAGCAAGAAATCACCCCCAGGGGGGATGGTCATACCACAATCCCTTCTCCTCCATTCTCCTCTCAGGATCTTGGGCACGCATGCACACGCGCCCGGCGTGAGCTTTAAGCCACGGAGTCCAGGATGTGAACTGCGGTTAACTATGTGGGAGTCCAGCGACATAGCCATTACGCTAACTGCTGGTTGGCAGGCAGCCTTTTAAAATTAAAAGAGCTAATATTTGTTTGGGGCTAGAATTTGCATGGTAGTTCAGGCAGCTAGATCCACATGGCCAACTGCAGGTTTAGAATCCTGGGCCCAACAGTTTGGGAAATAGGGCATGTATGCATGTGTGCACAAAATCCTAAAAGGAAGAAAAAATGGAGGAAGATGGATTGAAGTGTAACCATGCCCTATGTGGGAGTGTTTTCCCACTTTTCCTTCCTCTCTCTCTAGTGAACACATGTACTCTCTGGCAAATTACAAAATAAATAAGGTTAAAGAAAATAAAGCTTTTCTGCATGGTTAGTCAACATTTTGGCTGTCTGACTATCCTTAGGAGAAAATGCCCTTTAAACTTGACCAAGTTGTGTGTAGGTTTGCAAACTTCACTTCCAATAAGATACTAAAATAATTCAGACACTTGTTTCTCCATAATGTCTCTATCCATTAGTAAACTGTACAGACTAAACTATATTTTATGACTTTAGTCTTTCCAAAGGGACCATGTAAGTGACAGATGACATTTTTTGTCACATTGTCCACATAGAAAGTCCTTTGAGAATGTTAGATATTTTTATTTAAAATGTTTATTTGTGGGGCGAGAAGGTAGTATAGTAGTTAAGGTGGTAGACTCCCACATGCCTTATCGTGGTTTGAATCCCAGACCTGGAGCCTCGAAACTCATGCGTGGTGCATGTGCATTTGTGCCCAAAATTACAAAAGAAGAATGGAAGAGAAGGGATTGTGGCATGGTGTGGTGCCCGCCCCCCCCATAACAATGTCTAGATATTGCAATCCACTCCTAGCTTGAGTGAGCTCCAAATTGTGGACGTGTTGTGCTCTGTATACTAAGAAGGTCTTTAGACATGAACCTGAAACTTTCTCATGTGGGTCAGCTTTACAGAGTATCACGTTTTACCTCTGCCATAGTCAGGTCCCAGAACTTTAACATGAAAATATCATAGATTGTTAACAGTAGGAAAGCACATTTGTTCAGAAAGTTCATAGAAAATGCATATTATCAAAACACCTGCATGAATTTCAAGCTTTTGCATTAAAATAACTTGTACTTTAATCCATTTTCCACTAATTTTTAAAAATCCCATGTATCTAAATTAGATTACTATCTTATTGTTCAAGTCTTCCATTTAACCCAGATAGACACTAAATTAAAAAATAAGTAGGAACCAGCAGTTGGCGTAATGGCTATGTTGCTGGACTCCCATGTAGCCAACTGCAGTTCGAGTCCCAGACCTGGTGGCTTAAACTCATGTTGGGGGTGTGTGCACGTGCCCAAGGTCCCAAGAGGAGAATGGAGAATGGATTACAGTGTGGCCAGTCCTCTGGGGGGTGATTTCTTGCTGTCTCTCTGTCTCTCTCTGTCATTCTGGCGAGCGCATGTGCCCTATAGCAAAAACCTCTTTAAAAAAAAAAGTGAAAATATCTTCATCAACTGCTGTTTTCCTACAGGTATTGAAACTCGGATTTATTTGTTATGCTAAAGGGCATGTATGCTGGTCAGAGAGAGAGAGAGAAAGAAGGAAAGTGAGAAATCATTCCTCAGGAGGCATGGCCATGCTGCAATCCCTTCTTCTCATCCCTCTTGGGATTTGGGGGCACGCACACATATGTACCCAGCATGATTTTTAAGCTGCCAGGTCTGGGACTTGAACCGTGGAGCTGGCAGTGTGAAATACAGCACCTAAACCTCCATGTGGCCCAAAACTGCAATTTTAAATTAGCTGTTTACATTCTTGTTATGTGAAAAGAACATCTGTACATCTGTTGTTTGTTTAAAATATGGATTAACAAATATTTTCACTCTAAGCTAAAAGAAGCAAGAAATAATTTAAACTGTTAGGAAATTTTTAATTTAATTTTTTTTTTTACAGGGCGTCATCGTTGCATTGGGGAAAATTTTGCCTATGTTCAAATTAAGACAATTTGGTCCACTATGCTTCGTTTATACGAATTTGATCTTGTTGATGGATATTTTCCCACTGTGAATTATACAACCATGATTCACACCCCTGAAAACGCAGTTATCCGTTACAAACGAAGATCCTAATGAAAGAGGCTGCAAGGAGCTAATGGCGGATGAATCGTGAGCTGCAAAAAGCATTGGAAGAAAATGAAGTCTGTGAAACAACTCTCATAGTATACTTGTGTTTCTGAGTGTGATTCTAAAAGACAGCCAGTGTAACTTAAGATTGTAGTGTTTTATTAACTGAATGGTTCTATGGAAATCTAATAGCATTTAACACACTTTCTAACACACTTTTTGATACTGCTGTGCTTTGAAGAAGCCAAAATAATCGTTTAGTGGGATCAAGATAATTGGCAGAGTCTAAATGATACATTTTCTAAGTGTTAATTTCAGAGCATATTAGCTCTTGGCAAGTAAGTTCAGGGTATCAAATCTTAGACTACTTCTACGAGGTATAAAAAGCCCAGTAACATATTTGGAAGCCATGGGTTCATTTATCTGGGCAATGTGTTATGTGTGGTTAGGATGGGGGGAATAGGGAATAGACTCACATCTAAAGCTTTGGATAAAAGAGAATACCTATTGTTTTGGTGTGATGATACTTGACAATGATGGTCCATGTTTTAGAAAAGTACAACCTTTGGAATTTTAAGTAGAAGCACAACCTATAAGAAATTGAGAGATCTAGAACTCTGATTTTGATGATATTTCCTAAAAATATTATGAGTACTAAAGACTGCTCATGTATATCAATCTAATTACTAAATATTACATATTTGTTTGATAAATATGTGTATATTTCCCTAAGGTTAAATTTGCGTGAAAATCCAAAATACAGTACTTAAGAGTTTCTCTTCTTTGGCTCAAGGTTGTACCCTGCTTCCTCTCCAGAGTCCCAAATAGGGATGTTTCTGTTATTAGTTGTTAAGTAATATGTTTCTGCTTTTAATATAAAATCTGAGATCAGGGACTTTGACTTTTAAGGTATTTTTAAGATGTGAAACAGGGTCTTTGGCAATACCATCATTTGTAACATTCTACAAAGCCTGTGTTCAGGAACCAACAATTCCAATTATAACTGAGGGCTTAACTATATGAGATACCTGTAATGGACTCATGTTCTGTATTTAGTAGATGGGGCCAAAATATTTCCCCTTCTGTACTTTACAGTTCTGTTTAAGAGGCCAGAAGACTCACGTTAAACTCTAACAAAGGCAAAATCTCTGCTGATGGACAGTTTCTCATATTAAAATTGCTTGAACCAGTCTGTATTTATGAAATTTTTTTGGGAGGGGGGGCGAGACAAACACTAAAGATTTATCTTGCAATTTGATTGATCTAGGGCATGTATGCTGGTCAGAGAGAGAGAGAGAAAGAAGGAAAGTGAGAAATCATTCCTCAGGAGGCATGGCCATGCTGCAATCCCTTCTTCTCATCCCTCTTGGGATTTGGGGGCACGCACACATATGTACCCAGCATGATTTTTAAGCTGCCAGGTCTGGGACTTGAACCGTGGAGCTGGCAGTGTGAAATACAGCACCTAAACCTCCATGTGGCCCAAAACTGCAATTTTAAATTAGCTGTTTACATTCTTGTTATGTGAAAAGAACATCTGTACATCTGTTGTTTGTTTAAAATATGGATTAACAAATATTTTCACTCTAAGCTAAAAGAAGCAAGAAATAATTTAAACTGTTAGGAAATTTTTAATTTAATTTTTTTTTTTACAGGGCGTCATCGTTGCATTGGGGAAAATTTTGCCTATGTTCAAATTAAGACAATTTGGTCCACTATGCTTCGTTTATACGAATTTGATCTTGTTGATGGATATTTTCCCACTGTGAATTATACAACCATGATTCACACCCCTGAAAACGCAGTTATCCGTTACAAACGAAGATCCTAATGAAAGAGGCTGCAAGGAGCTAATGGCGGATGAATCGTGAGCTGCAAAAAGCATTGGAAGAAAATGAAGTCTGTGAAACAACTCTCATAGTATACTTGTGTTTCTGAGTGTGATTCTAAAAGACAGCCAGTGTAACTTAAGATTGTAGTGTTTTATTAACTGAATGGTTCTATGGAAATCTAATAGCATTTAACACACTTTCTAACACACTTTTTGATACTGCTGTGCTTTGAAGAAGCCAAAATAATCGTTTAGTGGGATCAAGATAATTGGCAGAGTCTAAATGATACATTTTCTAAGTGTTAATTTCAGAGCATATTAGCTCTTGGCAAGTAAGTTCAGGGTATCAAATCTTAGACTACTTCTACGAGGTATAAAAAGCCCAGTAACATATTTGGAAGCCATGGGTTCATTTATCTGGGCAATGTGTTATGTGTGGTTAGGATGGGGGGAATAGGGAATAGACTCACATCTAAAGCTTTGGATAAAAGAGAATACCTATTGTTTTGGTGTGATGATACTTGACAATGATGGTCCATGTTTTAGAAAAGTACAACCTTTGGAATTTTAAGTAGAAGCACAACCTATAAGAAATTGAGAGATCTAGAACTCTGATTTTGATGATATTTCCTAAAAATATTATGAGTACTAAAGACTGCTCATGTATATCAATCTAATTACTAAATATTACATATTTGTTTGATAAATATGTGTATATTTCCCTAAGGTTAAATTTGCGTGAAAATCCAAAATACAGTACTTAAGAGTTTCTCTTCTTTGGCTCAAGGTTGTACCCTGCTTCCTCTCCAGAGTCCCAAATAGGGATGTTTCTGTTATTAGTTGTTAAGTAATATGTTTCTGCTTTTAATATAAAATCTGAGATCAGGGACTTTGACTTTTAAGGTATTTTTAAGATGTGAAACAGGGTCTTTGGCAATACCATCATTTGTAACATTCTACAAAGCCTGTGTTCAGGAACCAACAATTCCAATTATAACTGAGGGCTTAACTATATGAGATACCTGTAATGGACTCATGTTCTGTATTTAGTAGATGGGGCCAAAATATTTCCCCTTCTGTACTTTACAGTTCTGTTTAAGAGGCCAGAAGACTCACGTTAAACTCTAACAAAGGCAAAATCTCTGCTGATGGACAGTTTCTCATATTAAAATTGCTTGAACCAGTCTGTATTTATGAAATTTTTTTGGGAGGGGGGGCGAGACAAACACTAAAGATTTATCTTGCAATTTGATTGAAAAAAAATGTCAATATAGAAGATTTGGTTGGGGGTAGTAGGTAAACCAAGGTTGGCTCCATGGTTGCCCACAGTGCAGTAGGAGTCCTGCTGCAGGTTCTGCCAGATTCTGCTGCTGTCTTGCTCAGGGCCATGTTGGACCGTCCACCCATGCTAGGGGGTGGGTGGCTGGATGAGGGGAAGAGGTTTTTATAGCCACTCATGAGTTTGAGGAATTTCAGTTTCTGTTTCTCTTTCAAAAGCAGCAGTATCCCACTAGCCAAACTGGGTTCCCATCCACTTCCTGGTTTCAGACGCTTCTGTTGTGCCCAACTCATGAGCGAGCTGTGCTTGCAAGGCCTTTCATTTCACCTGGTTTATGTGCACCTCATCTAGGTCTGTGAATGGTTCCTTCTCTCCAGGGTCTCCTGCTGCACCACCCTCTTTCCTCTTCTTTCTTTTCACAGCCGGTTCCACAATGCCTTGCTGCTCCACCTTTTTCTTGGACTTCAGCTTGTTCATTTTTTTTTTTTTTTTTTTTTAGAGAGGGGGGTTTTTTTTTTGTTTTTAGAGAGAGGGAGTGAGAAATCACCCCCTTGGGGGATGGCCACGCTGCAATCCCTTCTCCAGTCTCCTCTCCGGATTTTGGGTATGCATATACATGTGCTGGTTTGAAGCCACCGGGTCCAGGCATTTAACTGTGGTCCACTATGTGGGAGTTCAGTGACGTAGCTATTACACCATCTGCTGGTCTCCTTTCTTGGACTACATTTTCTTCTTAGCTGGGGACTTTGGGCCATCTCCTATCGGGATGAACTCTGGATCCACAACCTTGACCAGCTTTTTGCTAACTTTCTTACAGTTACTCTCCACAGAACTGGAGAGTTTTGAGTGGACTAGGACAGTGTCTCTTTCAGTATCTCCACCTTCCTGCTGTGTTCCCTGGGGATCCCTTGCTTGTTTCTGCCCCAAGGCTGTCTGCTCCTTACCTCCTTCCCTTTCAACTGCACAGACCGTACCCAACCTCACAGAACCAAGGGTCCAGATTGAGAAGGCTGCAGTGTCCTTGGCCTTTTCTTTTTTGAGCTTCTTGCCAACTCTGGTAACCTCACTCGGTCTGAGATCTGGGGATGTCTTGATCCCTGAGCCATGGGACAGCCAGGGATAACAAGAATTTCCTTTGTCTTCTCCCAACTGAAGACATCAGAGTGCCCAAGGGACTGCTTCCTGGGGCTGGGTGACTTCTCTGTTCATTGGGCAATCTAGTCTCGAATTCTGGGGGCTCCTCACTAAGGGTGCTGTGGCCCTTCTTCATTAGAGGCATCTCAAATGCCTAGCCTCAGACCATATTCTTAAAGAGGGATGTGGTTCTTTCCGAATTTTTAGGTAAATAATTATCATTGTGTAAAACTGACCACTTCTTTTTCTTTTCTGGGAGCCCATGGTCCTGGTCTACTTTGTGGATCTTGGTGATCATTCCTGTAGGCTAGACTTTCCTGCCTCCTTGTGAAAGCCCCTGTACTTATGGATTTTAAAGTGTGATTCAGTGGATAGAGTTCAGGGAATCTAGGAACTTGGATAGGGAAAATTATATCTGTGTTATTTCCTTCATTCACAAATTTAGGCAACAAATCACACAAAAATAAAGACTCTGGTTGTGTGTGTGTGTGTGTGTGTGTGTGTGTGTGTGTGTGTTGTGTGCCCAAAATCCCGACAGGAGAGTGGAGAAGGGATTGCTGCATGATCATCCCTCCTGGGGGGGTGCTTTCCCACTCTCCCTCTCTCCTTCTCTTTGTCTCTCTCTGGCCAGTGCATGAGCTCTATAGCAAAAACAAACAAAACTGAACAAAAACTTAAGAACTTACAGTAAGGCTAGTCTGTTTAGTGAACAGATTATGTTTTAGAGTTCAACAGACTTTATATTTTAAAAAAAAATCATTTATTTAATTCTACTTATTATGATTTTTTAATTTGACCAGAGACAGAGAGAGAAAGGGAAAATGAGAAAGCAAGCCACCAGGTCTGAGACTTGAACCACAATTAGCCATGTGGGAACCCAGCACTTTAACCACCATACCACCTGCTGTTCCCCGCCCCCTTTTATAAGGAAGTATTTTATTTAACTTTATTTATTTATTTATTTATTTTAATTTGACCAGAGAGGTACAGAGAGAGACAGAAAGCAAGCTGCCAGGTCCAGGACTTGAACCTTAGCCAGCCATGTGGGAGTTCAGTGCTCTTAACCACCACACTACCTGCAAGCCCCTAGATTTAGTTTTTAATCACAGACTATTGTGAAGCATGAACATGTGCGACTGCAGACACCTAATTCAAGGACGGCTGATGGCCAAACAATGGAAATGCACTCAGCTTAATCAGAGCACTGTCCATCTGCTCTTTTCTCCACTGTCTCCTAGAGTAGAATAGTCTTGAGTGTCAAGCCATCCTAGCCTGAGAAGGGTTTTTACCTACAACCTTCTCCCTCACCTACCTGCTTTAGAATATCCTGGCTATTGACATCAGAAGATGGCACAATGGTTACATTGCTGGACTCCCATGTGGTTGACCACAGTTCAAATCCTGGACCTGGCAGCTTGAAACTCATGGTGTGTGCGTGCGTGCACATGCATGTGCACCCAAGATCCCAAGAGGAGAATGGAGGAAAAGGGACTGCAGTGTGGCCATCCCCCCGGGGCGTGATTTCTTCTTTTCTGTCTCTCCAGCGAGCACACATACCTGATCACAAAAATCTCTTAAAAAAAAAGCAAAAAAACCCCAAAACACTGGCTATTTCTAGAACTACTCTTCTTAGAACTCAGCTGCTAATATAGAAAATTTAATTTATAACTTCCAGTAATGCATTACTCACCCACCATACCTGTTTGTGTTGGAATAAATCATAAAACATAAAATAATAGGACAAAACCTTTGGATGGAAGCATCAAAGACTGTTCCTCTTGCTATTGTAGTGAGATGCCCTCACTGGGGAAGACTCTAGATAGAAATAACAATGGAACCTGTATTCTCTCTGTGAGAGCTTCCCAACTAGAATTTGGCTTAGACAACCGAATTTGTTTAATTCCTTCTGCTCCATTGTGATGAATACAGTTTAAGTCTTTGAGTTAATAATATATGCATCTTCTTAGAGGGCCATGGATCTATAAAGAACACTAAAATAATGGGACAAATATGGATTAATCGTGAAAATGCCAGTAAGTTTTTAAAAAATACTACACATAGACATGAAGTTTATACATTCTTTCTCAATGGAAGGCAAGAAAACCCCAACGGTAGCCAATTCTAAGATGACTACCACTTTTTTTCTAAATCCCTAAGTCCTACATATTTAAGGTAAGTAATGGGATAATATGCACCAAGAACTATGATTCAATTAAAAATGAAGGAGGTTCAAATACAGTGTGGTGAAAATGGTGAAGTCATTTTTATTTCAGTACTTGACAAAATACCCCATAAAATTCAAAACTTCTACCATTATACAAAAATAGGTCTCTACAAGTGATATTATCTCTTTATCACCAGTAGCAAATATATTAGGCAGAAACATGTAACTTCAGTAGCCTTATAAGAAAAGTGCAGGACACCTCAAGCTACACATTCAGCAGTATCATGATGCGCAAAAGTTTAATCTTTTCACCCATTTGATAAATACACAAGGTTTATAATTTAATCATTTAAATTAGCATTCCACAAATATACATGTAATTAATGATTATTGTGCATGGATACATACACAATGCTTATATTTACAAATTCCAGTTTGTTTTCATGTGCTGGCAGGGTCTGTATACAATCATAAGCTGTGTTCATATTGGTCCCATTGAATATTCACAATACAAAAGCACAAAAGAACCATTGATTTACAAAAGGGAATTTCTTTAAAATTACTTCAGTTAATGATGTTTCAAGGATTATCTTCTCATGCCAGCATGAAACTGAGTAGTTGAACCTAGAAGAGAAAAACAGGGCATTTAAAAATTGTAAGTGATTTCAAGTTAGACTGCTACCTGTATCAAACTAGTTCATGAAGAGATTACTTTTATCCTCCATTTAAAAATATGCCCCTTTTCCCCTTAAAATGTCTTATTCAAACTTGAATTGATTTTAAACTTTTTTTTTCTTTTTTGAGAGGTTTTTGCTACAGGGTATGTGTGCTCGCCAGATAGACAGACAGACAGAGAGACAGAAAGTGAGAAATCACCCCCCAGGGGAATGGCCACACAGCAATTCCTTCTCCTCCATTCTCCTCTCAGGATCTTGGGCACGCATGCACACGTGCCTGGCATGAGTTTAAGCCACCTGGTCTGGGACTTGAACCACAGTTGACTACATGGGAGTTCGGCGACATAGCCATTACGCTAACTGCTGATTGCTTAAACTGTTATTAAAAGAGATTTCAAATGCATACACATACATACTCACATCACCAGGTCTAGTCTATAGTAAGTTAAACGAGATCAATGTTTAAATTTTTTTTCAAATGCACTAACGGTTGAATGTTCTGTACCTCATACACCTTGAAGAATCTTGGTCTTCAAGAATCTGGGTTCTGGGACCAGCAGTTGGTTTAAACTCATGCCGGGCACATGTGCATGCGTGTCCAAGATCCCAAGAGGAGAATGGAGGAAAAGGGACTGCAGTGTGGCCATCCCCCCTGGGGGGTGGTGATTTCTCGCTTTCTGTCTCTCTGTCTTTCCTTCTGTCTTTCTGGCGAGTGCATGTGCCCTACAGCATAAACCTCTCAAAAATAAAAAAAGAATCTGGGTTCTGCAGAATTTGTATGCTCAAAACAAAACAAGCCAAATCAACCAACAATCTTGGCTATGATACTAAAAATTTCCTAATACTACAAGGTGCTTGGGATAAATAATTTCTTTTTTTAAAGGTTTACTATAGTGTATTTATTTTATTTTTTAAAATTTATTTTAAATTTGCTATACAGTATGTGCATCTAACGGGCAGGGGGTTGTACTCTATGGGTTGGTCACACCACAAACCCTTCTCTATTTCTCCCGCCTTTCAGGATTTTGGGCATGCATACACACGCACTGGCTTTTTTATTTTTATAAAGCCTCTAGGTCTGGCATTCAAACTGTGCAATCAGCCATGTGGGATCCAGCCACCATAACCATCACATCAACAGGTGGTCTAAAAATGATTTCCTGAATGAAGAGAGAAACTACACATTTAAAACTACCTGTTATTTGGGGTAAGCAGGTGACTTGGTGGGTAAGGTGCTGCACTCCCATGACTAATCAAAGTTCAAGTCCTAGATCCAGTGGCTTGAAAACCACATTGGGTGTATGTGCGTGCCCAAAATCCCAAGAGGAGTATGAAGGTTAAGGGATTGCCGCACAGCCATTCCCTTTGAAGGGTGATTTCTCATTTTCCTTCTGTCTCTCTCTGGAAAGAGCATGAGCCTTATGAAAAAAACTTAAAAAACAAGGGGCTAGCAGGTGGCATAGCAGTTATATTGTTGGACTCCCATGTGGCTGACCGCAGTTTAAATTCCAGATCTGGTGGTTTGAACATCACGCTGAGGGTGTGTGCGTTCATGTCCAAGGTCCTGGGAGAATGAATAAGGGATTGCAGCATGACCTTCCCCCAAAGGGGGCAATTTCTCACTTTTCCTCTGACTGTCCTGTCTCTCTCTCTCTCTCTCCCCAGAGAATGCATGTACCCTAAGGCAAAAACCTCTTAAGAAAAATACAACCTGTTATTAGCCCATAGTTTGAGGGCCTACTAGAAAAAAATGGTCCTTAAATAAAAGTAAAAACGGGCCAGCAAATGGCATAATGGCTACGTCACTGGGCTCCCCCATGCTGACTGCAGTCTGAGTCTGGACCTGGTGGCTTGAAAATCATGCCAGGTGGGACCAGCAGTTAGTGTAGAGGCTATGGCACTGGACTCTCATGTAGTTGACTGTGGTTCAAGTCCTGGACCTGGTGGCTTAAACTCGTGCTGGGTGTGTGTGCATGCATGCCCAAGATCCCAAGGGGAGAAGGGATTGTGGCGTGGCCATCCTCCCTGGGGGGTGATTTCTCACTTTCTGTCTCTGTCTGTCTTTCCAGTGAGCGCACGCACCCTATAGCAAAAACCTCTCAAAATGAAAAAAAGAAAATCATGCCAGGCACATGTGTGTGAGTGCCCAAGATCCCAGGAGGCAATCCCCCACCTCCTGGGGGGGTGATTTCTCACTTTCTCTCTCATTTTCTACCACACCCCCTCAACTCGAGTGCCTGGCATGAGTTTAAGCCACCTGGTCTGGGACTTGAACCACAGTTGACTACATGGGAGTTCGGCGACATAGCCATTACGCTAACTGCTGATTGCTTAAACTGTTATTAAAAGAGATTTCAAATGCATACACATACATACTCACATCACCAGGTCTAGTCTATAGTAAGTTAAACGAGATCAATGTTTAAATTTTTTTTCAAATGCACTAACGGTTGAATGTTCTGTACCTCATACACCTTGAAGAATCTTGGTCTTCAAGAATCTGGGTTCTGGGACCAGCAGTTGGTTTAAACTCATGCCGGGCACATGTGCATGCGTGTCCAAGATCCCAAGAGGAGAATGGAGGAGAAGGGATTGTAGCATGGCCATTCCCCCGGGGGGTTATTTCTGTCTCTCTGTCTTTCCTTCTGTCTTTCTGGCGAGTGCATGTGCCCTACAGCATAAACCTCTCAAAAATAAAAAAAGAATCTGGGTTCTGCAGAATTTGTATGCTCAAAACAAAACAAGCCAAATCAACCAACAATCTTGGCTATGATACTAAAAATTTCCTAATACTACAAGGTGCTTGGGATAAATAATTTCTTTTTTTAAAGGTTTACTATAGTGTATTTATTTTATTTTTTAAAATTTATTTTAAATTTGCTATACAGTATGTGCATCTAACGGGCAGGGGGTTGTACTCTATGGGTTGGTCACACCACAAACCCTTCTCTATTTCTTCCGCCTTTCAGGATTTTGGGCATGCATACACACGCACTGGCTTTTTTATTTTTATAAAGCCTCTAGGTCTGGCATTCAAACTGTGCAATCAGCCATGTGGGATCCAGCCACCATAACCATCACATCAACAGGTGGTCTAAAAATGATTTCCTGAATGAAGAGAGAAACTACACATTTAAAACTACCTGTTATTTGGGGTAAGCAGGTGACTTGGTGGGTAAGGTGCTGCACTCCCATGACTAATCAAAGTTCAAGTCCTAGATCCAGTGGCTTGAAAACCACATTGGGTGTATGTGCGTGCCCAAAATCCCAAGAGGAGTATGAAGGTTAAGGGATTGCCGCACAGCCATTCCCTTTGAAGGGTGATTTCTCATTTTCCTTTTGTCTCTCTCTGGAAAGAGCATGAGCCTTATGAAAAAAACTTAAAAAACAAGGGGCTAGCAGGTGGCATAGCAGTTATATTGTTGGACTCCCATGTGGCTGACCGCAGTTTAAATTCCAGATCTGGTGGTTTGAACATCACGCTGAGGGTGTGTGCGTTCATGTCCAAGGTCCTGGGAGAATGAATAAGGGATTGCAGCATGACCTTCCCCCAAAGGGGGCAATTTCTCACTTTTCCTCTGACTGTCCTGTCTCTCTCTCTCTCTCTCCCCAGAGAATGCATGTACCCTAAGGCAAAAACCTCTTAAGAAAAATACAACCTGTTATTAGCCCATAGTTTGAGGGCCTACTAGAAAAAAATGGTCCTTAAATAAAAGTAAAAACGGGCCAGCAAATGGCATAATGGCTACGTCACTGGGCTCCCCCATGCTGACTGCAGTCTGAGTCTGGACCTGGTGGCTTGAAAATCATGCCAGGTGGGACCAGCAGTTAGTGTAGAGGCTATGGCACTGGACTCTCATGTAGTTGACTGTGGTTCAAGTCCTGGACCTGGTGGCTTAAACTCGTGCTGGGTGTGTGCGCATGCATGCCCAAGATCCCAAGGGGAGAAGGGATTGTGGCGTGGCCATCCTCCCTGGGGGGTGATTTCTCACTTTCTGTCTCTGTCTGTCTTTCCAGTGAGCGCACGCACCCTATAGCAAAAACCTCTCAAAATGAAAAAAAGAAAATCATGCCAGGCACATGTGTGTGAGTGCCCAAGATCCCAGGAGGCAATCCCCCACCTCCTGGGGGGGTGATTTCTCACTTTCTCTCTCATTTTCTACCACACCCCCTCAACTCGAGCTCACATGCCCCAAGGCAAAAAAAAAAAAAAAGTAAAAACTAAGTATAAAAGTTAACTTAGGGCATAATGAATCACTTAAACTGATTCAGGAGTGAACTGAAGGGAGAACAGAGAATATCTTCTTACAATGAACAGGAAACCATCTCTATTATAAAGTATGTTTTTTGCGTGTGGCTTTGAGCAGAGAAAAACATAAGATTGCACTAAGTGCTTTAAACAATTCGCCCTCCCCCTGCAGCCCTTCATTTACATGTCTTACAACTGTCTACCATGTATTACTTAGGAACCTGTTTCTCAGTAGACTGTAGCCCCAGAATACCTTGCAAACTGGTGCTAATTATGAAGTTTGTCTAATCTGCTGAATGAAGATAGCAGGGAATAATTTTTTCAGGGAGTGGGATCTGGAGTGAGATCTTGACTTAAAGCCTCTAAAGCCAATTTCTTAGCGGTTTACACTGAGTTTGGCTAATTTGGTAACACATGCACTGAGTTGAATGATTTGATTAAGCTAATGAGGAGGAGCAAGGAGTTTCAAAAAAAAGAAAGGAGAACTGCCAGACCACTCCTATGCTGCTGCCAATATGTACTTAAACTCAGAGCACCTGACTGTACAGTTCCAAGTCGTCTTTGCAGTGCCTCTAGCCGAGTGATATAATCTGTCAGGGCTCTGTCAGGATCATAATTTTGAAGCTGGGAACATGCTAAGGAACCAGGATTTAGATCAGCTGGAGTGCCTGGGTACCTAGAGGATTAAAAATATGCACATGAATTCAAATTATCCAGAACCATGCAAACAAGTTACCAACCTGCCTCTACTCCAGCCCCCAAAGATAGGCCTCTATATACATTGCTTAATCTATATCCCCTAAGATCCTGAGTTTGGAATGAGAAAGAAGCAAATCTTCAATACAAAAAAATACTAAGTCATAAGTACAGCCAATACAATGCCTGTCGCAGAGATCTTCAGCAAATGTTGGAAAATGCATCTTGTCATGCAGACTGTAGAGTTTTTCATAAGGGCCACAGAGTCCATTTTAGTCAACACTTTCCCAAAGATCACCAGATATACTAAGTAACACTTGCTCAGCTGTCTCATATACCCTTAGAATCAGTTAGTTACAAATTCAAAAACTAGTTTTGATTCTGGGTCTTTGATTACATGTATTATACACAACTAAAGATGTCTATACCTTTCTCAATGCAAAGAAGTACAAGTATTAAATTCGTACCTATTCTGAAATGGCACAGGAGACCTAGGATAGTCCAGATCTGATCTGGAGCGATACGCAGTGTGTCTTGGTTCTCCGTACAGCTCCAGCCCACCAGGAGAGTGGTAAAATGGGTCAGTCTTTTCAACACCTAAAGTAATCCAAAATGTACCTTGTAAAGAAAGAAATACCAAGCCTTTGCAAAATTTCTAAAAAAACAAGTAAGGGCTCAAAACGCTATTACATTAAATCATACTATACCACATCGTATTTATAGACATTTCAAATTATTCTTGATAAAAGAAAAATAACAGTATAAAAATTTGGCTCTCAAATGTCATTCTGTTTACCTTTAAATAAAACCAAATAATTATTATCCTCTTTAAAATAGTGAGGTCTCTAACTCTGATAGAAGGACCTTGCCTTTGGACAACAGTGATTCCCAAATTCATTATTTGGAAGGTTATTACACATACAATAACTTTACAGTCAATAACATGAAAATATACAACTCTGACTTCACCTGGATTCAGTCCAAAGCCATCCCTGTTAATATTGATAGAACCAGAACCTGTGACTCGATGCCACCGTCGAACCAAAAATTTCATTCTAAAAGAGATTCCAAGACAAAATTATATAGCAAATCTATACTGTAAAGATTATAATTACATACTTCCAATAAAAATCAACTCATACATTTAAGTATGGACAAACATAGGTCAAATTTCAGTAAAATCACATGACTGCCTAAACTATTACAATGAATGTCCCCAGGTTTGTGGAAAAATCAACTGAAACAGAAGAACAGGGCTGCAAACTTCCCTCGCTCCTTTCCCGAGGTGCACCAGATATCTCTTATGTTCCCAGAATCAGGTTCTGGCTTTAGGGATACATGGGATACGAGAAGATGGAGGGCAAATGTACATAGGAAGAAAAGTGAATGAGCAAAATACTACTGAGAATAAATGGGGAAAAAAAAAGGCAGGTGAGATGGGAAGAAGACAAAAAAGATCCTTAAACTGGCAGTAAGAACGAGCTGGGAAAGCTGAAAGAGTAGTGGGGTCTTATAGGGACGAAAAAATGTTGGCTTCAAAAGGAATGGGCGGTAGGGACCAGCAGTTAGCGTAATGGCTATGTTGCTGGACTCCCACGTAGTTGACCACGGTTTGTGTCCTGGACCCGGTGGCTTAAAACTCACGCCAGGTGCGTGTGCGTGTGTGCCTAAGATCCCGAGAGGAGAATGAAGGAGAAGGGACTGCAGCATGGCAATCCCCCCTGGGGAGTGATTTCTTGCTTTCTGTCTCTCTGGCGAGCACATGCGCCCTATAGCGAAAACCTCTCAAAAAAAAAAAAAAAAGGAATGGGGGTATTAGTGACACAAACCACCCGCAACAACTTGCTGCTTGCCTCATCTTGGCCTGAGCACCTTATTGTCAAAAATATTTTTTAGTTGCCAGAATATATGTGTGTTTGCCAGAGGGAGAGAGAGAGAGAAAAAGAAATATCCTCCGATGGGGCCTGGTCACACCACAATCATTTTCTCTTCATTCTCCATCCTATTAGGATTTGGGGCATGTATGCACATGTACTCAGTGTGTTTTTCAAGTCACTGGAGCTGGGACTTGAACTACTGTTTGTTATATGGGCTCTAGCTCCCTATGTATGCACTTAACTGCTGTGCCAAGGAGCTGGCTCCCCAAGAACACTTTCAGAGCATCAGTTTTAATTTAATTCTAATCAGCTTCAAGGCTCAGTCTTAGGAAGGTAAAAATACAATGATTATATATGAGGACAAGTAAAGAGGGTACTTATGGTGATGTCCTTTAATAGCAACTTCTGCTTTCATGGAGCTTCCCCAAATTCCTCTAACCAAAGTTACTGGCTAACTACTGTAACATCTTATTTCGTATCTTCTCATTCTATGCGTATTGGTCTTCCCCTAGAAAGTGAGCTGTGTTTAGGGATCAAAACAGTAAGTTTTTCATTGCTCTCAGCATTACCCTGGCTTACCCTATACAAGGCAGTGCAGGGAATGAAAGGTGAGAAAGGAGAAAGCAGACTACAATGTGTAGTGGCAGAGGCAGGAAGGGTCTAAAGCCAACAATAGGACAAAATCTGAGTTCTTGTTTAGAGAGCCAGCATGAATGGGACTTGAAAGACCCAGCTGGTTGTCCCAGCCTGACACTACCAGCTCTGTAACCTGTCTTAGTTTGCTTATCTATGAAATGAAATCCTGGACTAGGTGACTGCAAACAGCTTCCAGTTAAAAAATTATGCAAGAGTTTTTTAAGCAAAATAAGAAAAAGGGTACAATCTCTTCAAGAAACATCAGATGTGACATGGCAGAAATTTAAAAAGCAGAATTCCTTTAAGAGTCTGGCTCCAGAGAAATAAAATGAAGGGGGACAACACAGAGAAGTCTAGGTTTCTAGGTACATACCAACCAGGTCAAAGAACTGCAGTGGGCTGTGGCCTTGTTTCCTTTTCAATCACTAGAGAATGAATACCAGAGTTCCCAGCCTGGAGCTACTAGAGAAAGAGTGACAAAAGCACTAGCAGAGTTCAATGTCCTTATAGTCTGACCTCTGACCAGAATGCAGAGTTAGGGCAGGGCTTTCTGTAGTTAGCACCAAGAGAGAATTATTATAATGAAGAACACAAATGCATACCAGCATTGAGAGTAATGTTTCAAAATATTTTTTTCTCTTTTATGATCTCTTTTATGTATTTGTCTGAACTAGTTAATAGATTATTTTTTAGAAAAAGCAATTCAGGGGCCAGCAGGTGGTGTGGTGGTTAAAGGCGCTAGGTGGTTAATAGCCGACTGCAGTTCGAGTCCTGGACCTGGTGACTTGCCTTCTCATTTTTCCTTTCTCTCTCTCTCTCTCTCTCTCACTGGTCAAACTAAAAAATAATAGTCACAAATGGAAATAAATAAATAATTCTTTAAAAAAGAAAAGACAATTCCAGACTTGATGAACCAGCTGAGTCACCAGCTGTGTGCAGCTGAGAAAGTTTTCTTCATGGGTCTACACAGTACAACATAAAGTATTGTTGCAAAGAGGATGAAAACCTAGAAAGAAATAATCAGTCATGTTTCAGTGACAGCAAATGTCTCCTACTATATAGATATCGAGTAAATAAAACTGACCAAGAAAAGAGGGAGGATTTAAGATAATCTTGGGCTAGCCGTGGTGGTGCAGTGGTAAGATAATACTCTGTGATGCTGAGACCATATGGCAAGAACCTGGGTTGATATCTCAGGGTCTCTCTGCGCATGCCATGTATGTCCATGCCCTATCCATTATCCTGACTAGCTGAGACTAGGGATGGGATCATGGTGGGAAAAGCCTAATGGGGTCCCTGTTTCTTACAGAAAAAATAAACTATAAACAAACAAACAAAAAACTCAAATAAAAAAATGAATCCTCATACAGAGTCTATTAATAAAATTCATTTTCTTTCAAATACTTTACCTCGAAATAGCAATGGATACTCTGACAGCTGACCGAAACCTAGTGAAGCCTTTTGGACGGTTGGTGATCACCTCTAGGTCAGTGAAGGCCGGTTGCCCCCCCATTCGAGCCAGCAGGGCCAGGGTGGCATCTTCGCATTCCTGGAATCCACCCAGTAACAGCAGCAGGTATTTCTTTTGATAAATGAGAGCTTTTCGAAAACTTTCTGCCCTCAGGTATTTACCATAAATTCTCTAAATGTAAAGAAGGGAAGAACATAGAGAGATTACTAAGAAGGCATTCTCTAGCGGAAGATAACCTAGCTTCTCAACAAAACTACAATAGTAGTGGTAGAATGGTGAGTACTTATCACTTCTGTTTCATCAGCAAAGTTCACAGTTAATTATCTTTATATTTTTGCCTCTTTTTCAGTCAGTGGAGTCTGAATACTAACCATATGGTTATACTTGTTGTTTACTCTGGATTTTAGTCCACTTATCCTATTTATTGCAAATATTTTGGTCATCCCACTATCATTAGAGCTTTTAAGAAAATTGTGTGGCGCTATTATTATTACTATAGCCACTAATCTCTTTAACTTTTTAAATGTTTACTGTCTCTTTAAGCATCACAAATTTATGTGTGCTTCATAGTTGAAAATAAATATTCCAAATATTTTCCTTTCTCTTTTGGATTTTATGTTAACTGATTAAGGTAGTATTACTACCATATTCACTATTAGTCATTAGGGAAGCTACTCAGAGGGCTTACGATCTTATAGAGCACAACTGACAGTAGTAGAGCTTTTGTTATAAGCTGAAAAGAAACATCTATTGGTCACTTAGGGAAGAAGCTATGGGAAATAGTACCATGAGCTCAGGGTACAGCCTAATCTGGTACCAGTCCTGGGCATGCGCCTCCACAAACCTCCAAGACTAGCATTCACGATCAGACTAAACAGAGAGACCTAGAGACAGACCTAGAGTAGCCTGAGGGCTGCCTCAATGTCTTTAGTCTGTTTAGTCAAGGTCAGTGAGAGATGAGACAAGGTAAAAACAGAGGACCAGCTGTGATGTATATTTAGATGGACGAGGTCTCTTACCTTTAAAGTGACATGTTCAGAATCAGGGCTTAGATTTTGAAGTAAAGCATCATTTCTTAGTTCAGCTTTCAGTTTATATATTTCAGCTTCTGCCCTTTTCAAAGACTTCTGGAGAGCTGATTTTTCTCTGCTCCATACTTCTTTTTCGGACGCAATGATGGCTTCAATGTTGGCACCACCACTGAACGAAAGCCTAGAAGACTGGAGAGAACACAATCTACTTACAAGATTTTAAACAAGTCTTTTAAGAAATGCCTGAATTAAACATATTAAAGATATCCTCATGATGGATACAGAGTCCCAGCTTTTCAACTTCAGACAGGGAAAGTTCAAAGCTGATCTCAGCAGACATTAATGAATCTACTCTAAGTACATGTAGATCAGCTTTACAACCAATAGTCCCTGTGAGAGACTGACCACAGAAGAGTTAGCAGATTTAGTACTCTAAACTAAAGAAGTCAAGAGACTTAACAGATAGACCATCTGGGTGAAAATGTTGAGACTGACTTAAACAGTGCACTGGAGAATTGAAAAAAAAAAATCTGATTTTGTTCACAGTTAAGGGTATTCCACAGAAGTCATAGTGATGTGTTATGTATTCATACAATTGTTTTACAGGTCTTTGTGATTATAAAAACTAGCAATTTATTGTGTATCCTTTTTAAAATGAAAAAAAATTTAAATCCCTGAAGTAGTTATGCAGAGACTTCAATAAGTTCATGTGAAATAGAATTCAAGTATGAACTAATCTTGGTGCAAATAACCTTTGAAACTCATGCATATTTTTTATTGTTATTTTGGAATATGCATGTTCCACTATCTTTTTGAAGCCGGCTCTCGTACCAGACTGAAATAATTTAATAGCAACTTTGACTTGCATTGTGAAAACAATAACTGATAAATAACTGAAGAGAACAGTCGGGATCCACAATGGGACCTTTCTCTACATATGTCTGTTGTTGGTTCCTTAGTAGCAAAGTACTATTTCGCTTTGGAGTCAAGGTAAACCTTGGTATGACTACAACTTTAGTTCAGTTTCCTTAAACAAGGCTAGATGTGGATTAGAGATTCTATATGTAAATAATTCAGTGTCTGGTATGTAAAAGGCTCCTAGCAAATAATAGCTATTTCTATGTATAACTATAGTTGTATAGTAGACCCAATATAACTTTCCATAGATCCTATTCAGAACCAGATACTTGATATGTATGTTATCAGGGCTAAAAATTGAAATTAGACAGCAGCGACAGGAATTTTGCACTACTTCTAATATGTGCACGTGCTAAAAAGAGACGTACATAATCTCTGCCAGCTGTCTGCCGATACCACCTGATCTGCTCTTCCAGCTTCATAACCATGTTCCTTAAATCATTCTTTTCTTCAGTCAATTGGCTGATATGTCCTGTCAGCTCAGCATTCTGTCTCAGTAGTCTTTCAGTCAGTGAGCCACAGGATGTACTTGGGGACACTAAGCTCAGCTGGAAAAAATCAAATGGAGTAAGGTCACATAAACATAAATGCATATCAAAAATGTATAAGAAAGCATGAATACAGTTGTATGCATACTGTGAGAAACCATTCTGTATTCTACACAAAAAATAAATAATAAAATTTTTTAAAAAGGTGTGAACAGGTACTGAAACAACCAATTCCATGAAAAAGTAGTGTTTAAATAACAAGTCTTAAGTAACAGGTAAAAAACTACTAAATAAGAAAGAAGATAAAAAGGGGTATACAGAGTTGAATATCCTTCTGAAATGCCTGGGATCAGAAGTATTTCGGATTTCAGATCATCTCAGATTTTGGGATATTTGCATATACATAACAAAGTATCTTAGGGATGAGAACCAAATCTCAATATGAAATTTATGTTTTATATATGAGGAAAGTTTATGAACAGTATGATATTGTGGTCTTATAAGAACTCAGTGAATAAGTTTTCTTTTTCTCTCTTCCTATGTACAACTGTTATGTACAATTTTACCCATCTCTGACTGGACCAGTGATACCAAAGATCTTTTCAGAACATAGTTTTATCCCCCATAGTCCTCTACATGGAAATTACAAATTCTTCTTTCATTAGCTATATTAAGATTACCTCTTTTTTTGTTTTGTTTTAAGGTTTTGCCATAGGGTGCATATGCTTGCTAGAGAGAAGAGAGACAGAGACAATGTAAAAAAAAGTGAAAAGTCATCCCCCATGGGAGATGACCACGCCACAATCCCTTCTCCTCCTGGGATTTTGGGCAAGCACGTACATGTGCCCAGCATGATTTTCAAACTGTAGTGTCTGAGACTCGAACTGTGGTCTGCCATGTGGAAATCTAGTACGTTAACCACTAAGCCACCTGCTGGTCTAGATTATCTTTGTTTTGAAAAAAATCAGTCCTCATTAATTTATAAGACTCTGTTCTCTGTTAGTTGATTTTTCTTTGGAAGTATACTGTAAAGAATGTCATAGACAATTCAGTATCTATTTCCTGAATGACTGCTGGAGTAGGTTTTGAATGTTCACACATAATGTTAAATGTTGAAGGTAGTAAGTAAGTTTATATCCTTGATTTGTTTACTATATACATGGTTTCATCTATTTTTTTTTAAAAAAAGCGTTTTTTAGAATTATTTATTTATTTAACTTTATTTGCTGTTATTATTATTTTTTTTTTGGAGAGGTTTTTGCTATAGGGTGCGTGCACGCGCTAGAAGGACAGAAAGAGACAGAGAGACATAAAGCGAGAAATCACCCCTCAGGGGGGATGGCCATGCCACAATCCCTTCTCCTCCTTTTTCTTCTTGGGATCTTGGGCACGCACACATGTACACGCGCCTGATGTGGGTTTAAGCCACCGGGTCTGGGACTCGAACCACGGTCGACAACATGGGAATCCAGCAACACAGTTATTATACTAACTTCTGGTCCCAGCTGTTATTATTTTTTCATCTGACCAGAGAGAGAAATGGAAAAAGAGAAAGCAGGCTGCCAGGTCCAGGACTCAAACTGTGGTCAACCATGTGTTAGTCCAGCACTTTAACTACCACGCCACCTGTCAGCCCCTATATATGTACTATTTTTTTTTAAATTAAAATACTGAGTTTATTTCACATGTAGATCG